GGTTCCTGAAGCAACTCAACGATGCGGCAGGGGCCCGAGCATTGACTTTCAGCCTTCACGCCCATCGCTGAGGATTTCGCTCCTTGACAGAATGTTTTGGAGAACAAATCTTTCAGAATGTCATCTGCCCAAAAGTTAATATTCTGAAGTGGAGAAAACAAGATCCAGAGTTACCCGGGCTGCCACAGTCAGCTTCTGGAGGCAGCGGGCAACTTCGGCTGTCTCCCCACACTAGAACGCTGTAACGAACGTGGTTTATTCTGGAAGCAGCCAGGCAGATGCTCAGTTGCTTTCCGATTTATACCATACATGTAAATCAAAGAATGTGACTGAAATATTTATGCGTATGTCTGTGTGTGTGTGTGTGTGTGTGCATGTGTGGGTGTGTTGATGTGTGTGTGTGTGGTGAGTTTGAACTGGAAATCAATAATCCATATGTGTCAACTCATTTTATTTTCTGTAACTTTTCTTTGACAAGCTGCCACTTTCTCACAGCAGCAGGAGAACTAAATTCAGTCCAACGTGGTAAAATCAGTGTAATCATTTTTTAGCCACTTCTGGTTTAAAACCTAGACTCTTTTTGGCAATATCCAGTCGAATCCGGTATTGTCATTACTGTGGACATTGTTCACAGTTGAAAGCAGTTCTCTCTCAGTTTGGTAGAGCTTAGCCCCAGACTGAATGGACTGTCTGCAGAGGGGTCTCTTCCCTGTTCTCTTCCTCCATGTGCTGATAGAGGTGAGAGGCTGGGTGGGCCCAGGAATGCCTCGGGGACAGTGCACCTTGCTGGTGACAAGGGGCCAGGCCCATGCTGATGGAGATGATCGCCTGGGTGGACCCAGGAACGCCTCTGTAACTGGGCACCTTGCCGGTGACAAGGGGCCAGGCCCATGCTGATGGAGATGATCGCCTGGGTGGACCCAGGAATGCCTCAAACCAGGCACCTTGCTGGTGACAAGGGGCCAGGTCCATGCTGACACCTCATCTGGCTCTGGCTACAGCTGTCCTCACCCTGTCAGCTCTCAGACCAGAGCTTCTACCCTTGTTCCTTTGGAGCTGAGTGGCACACTGTGGTCACACCACCCTGTCTTCCAGGATCCAGGCAAGGCTGCACCCCTAGAGTGGGCCATCCACCCCCGTCTCTTCTGAAAGTGTCCCTCCCGGGGGTGTGGTAAGCTGGTTATGCCCCCATGGCCTTTGCTGGCCTCCTCCCCTCCTATGGGAAGCCATGCCTCCGTGGGAGACAGGTGGCCTTTCCCCACCACCGTGCTCACTGTGTCCCTTTGTCTTCTCTACGTCCTACGTAGATACACACCCATAGAAGGTGCACACAGTAGGCCTGAGGTTTCCTTGTCTGCATCCGAAGCAATTTTTAAAAGCTCCACTGCTCTGGGATTTCCTAAACCTTAAATGTTGGAAATTTTCTAAGAAGCTGCCACCTTCCAGACTGTCAGACCAGGAAGGAGACCAGGAAAGGGATCTGGGTCCAAGCCCCTGGCCCTTCCTTGATGGTCTTCTATATCCTTCTCCCTCTTGGCATTGCAGGGGCCACGCTTCTTCATGGTTGCTGGAGACTTTGCTGCACCATCAGTGCATCCTCCCAGAAGTGGCCTTTGCTTCCCTTTCCCCTGGAGCCATAATAACTGAAGGATTTCGGGGCACATGGTTTGATAGCTTTCACAGTAGCCACACAGGTCAGCATAAACCGAATGCTGTATACATTTTCAGGTAGGACCCACCCAAATGCAAAGGGAAAATAACATAATTAAGTTTATTAAAAAATGACCCTCTGGAGGTGAAAATTTGCTAAATTGTTATTGACTCGAATTTTTAAAATTGTTTTTACCTTCATTTTTAAAAATGCATTTTAGAGCCAGGTGTGGTGGCTCACACCTGTGCTCCCAGCTACTCAGGAGGCTGAGGCTCAAGGATCACTTGTGGCCAGGAGTAGAGACCAGCCTCAACAACATGGCAAGATCCCTGTCTTAAAAAAAAAAAAAAAATGCACTTTATTCAGTTATCTCACACACATTAGAGACTATCAGATCACAAATGTTTAATAGAGTACGGTTATGTGCAAGGCAGTGTGACCCCAGCATGCCCCTGTGAGATTTTTTTCCTGAAGGTTGGCTGGCCAGTTTGCAAGCAGAATTTTCCTCTCAGGAGTCTTCACAGTTACATCAAAGCATATTCAGTCCAGTAATGTTTCCAGTCTTTGGAATCTTACCCTTAAATATACACTCCTAACAAAAGAAAATCTATAAAGACCTGCAATATACAATAGATGCATCAGACCCAAATCACCAAATGAAGTATTTATAGTAAATGTACAATGTGCTTCTCTATTCTGTGGTGGAGGACGGACAGTGGGAAGTGTGAACTAGTTGTTCCTAAATGGCTGGAGAGAATGTTGCAGTTAGTGGAACAAAGTTCCTAGAGGAACTGCGTGAAATTCATGGCACGTACCCGGATGGTATTTCCTGGGAGTGTTTTAGGATGTGTGTGAGATGGAAAGGCTAATACTGGTGATAGCGGTTTCCAATGAGGGAGCACGCCATGAGTACTCAGCCAGGTGCTGGGTGAGTATTTCTTCATGTAGAACTGTTGATTTGCATCTTTTTTTTTTTTTTTTTTTTTTTTGAGATTGAATCTCACTTTGTTGACAGGCTGGAATACAGTGGCATGATCTCGGCTCACTGCAACCTCCGCCTCCCTGGTTCAAGCAATTCTCCTGCCTCAGCCTCCTGAGTAGCTGGGACTACAGGCACCCGCCACCATGCCCAGCTATTTTTTTTGTATTTTTAGTAGAGACGAGGTTTCACCGTGTTGGCCAGATTGGTCTCGATCTCTTGCCCTTGTGATCCGCCCATATTGGCCTCCCAAAGGGCTGGGATTACAGGCGTGAGCCATCGTGCATGGCTGATTTGCATCTTATGTAGCAAATACTTCTAAAGAATCAGAGGTATCGCTCATAATAATAAGTCTACATGAATTCCGATGAGGCAGGATGTGTACAGGATAGTGAAGGATTTATGGATTTTATGTTTGGGTTTAATGTCATCTAGGTACTTTTCAGGAGTTTGTAAAACTATGTTGAATTGGTATTTAAAGCAAATTCAGCTTTTATAACTTCACATCACCTGGGGCTCTTTGGAAGTTTCCTTTCAGGTATTTTCTGCTTTGCCACCTCCTCTTAACTTTTAATAACTGTTTTGGTTATATTCTAGCATGCAATAAGTAATTTCCAAAGTCACATAAATAGCTAGAGAGTATCACATTATCTTCTCCATTAGAACCATATATCATGTTTTACTTCTTTATATCTATATAAATAAGTTATTTCTTAGTTTCTATATCAATATTATCTATTGTTTTAAAATAATAAGAACAAATAACTTACTATAAATGTCAGTAATCCCTTATCCCTACAAACTAGTGTCTCAGAAACCTGGACTGTAGTTTAAGAATGTAATGATAAAACTAGAAAAATACTTAAAGCAACATAAACCCCTATGTGTGAATGCAAGGTGAAAAGATTTTCTTCTATAAATAGGATACAATAGTCTACTTGATAGACCTTCATTTATGAATGATAATTTAGTGATTATATCATATCCCTTTCCCCACAAGGGCTTTAAATTAATGGCATTCCAGGTACGTCGTGAGGCTGATTTTTGCTGCCATACCTTGACTTGCATTTTCTCCTCACGTTGATACATTAGTTCTGTCTATCACTACTGTGACTTTCTTTGATATAAGAAGCCCCATCTTTAGATATACATGTGTAACAAAACACCATTTCCTGATGACGCTAATGCTACCCCTGTTGCATGCTATGAGTGATTGAGATGCTTTGGGGCAGATGTCTATATTAAATTAAAGTGCTATACTATGAAACCTTACCAGTCGTTCAGATTGATTATGCCAAAAGAACAAGTTGACTCTAGGTAAGATAATAAGATGAGGGATGAAAGCAATTTGTAAATTGGTTGGGAAAACTTGCAGAGTGTCATGAATTCTGTACTTAAGAAACATCAAAATATTCAAATGCTCGGTGATGAATGTTTTTCTATATAACACAGATGACTGTCATCTGGGTTTTACGAAATTCCTATTATATAATAGAGGAACACGTTATCTTTGATTTCCATCTGTGGGCCCCAGCGCAGGGCTCTTGGTAAGGGTGTGTGATTTATACAAGAAACAGTATATAGAGACATCTGAAATCTCTTTTGACAAGAAACTATTTGCAATATTTAATTTAGAAATGAACTTTAAAAGGTATATCAGCTTATGGAATACTAGGGTTTTCTTTGAGTCACTGAAAAGGCTGCCCTGTATGATGACTGTCTTCTGCAATCCTTAATAACCTGCCCACTCTTCCAGGATAGGGCTGTGGTTTGGGGTTGCTTACACTACTCACAGCCCCTGGAGAGATGAGAAGCACTTGGTAAGTGTCCATCAGATAAACCTAAAGATACCACAGTGAAAATGCCTAAGTGCTAAAGAATAGTATTTCTCAAGCTGTATTTTCCAGTGAGATTGCTTGGTCTTCTTGGTAAAATGCAGACCCTGTGCCCCCACCCTCAGGAACTTACTCAAGAGGAACGTACAGGTTGACAGCACCTGGCCCATACTTGAAGAAACCATATCAGAGACTTAAAGATATGGTGCTTGGTATTTGCTGGGACCAAGAAGAGTACAGATAATTAGTCATAGGCGAGAAAGAGACATCAAAGGGAATAAAGTGCTTTTGATTTATTTATTTTGACCCTGCTAATTGGAACCTAATTAGTAGATTCCAAACACAGACATTAAGTATCTACTTGCAGTGATAAATCTTAGATGTATATGTCTTAATTAAAGCCAAACCTCTCTTCTTAAAGATAAGCATTAGATTTCCCTGTGATAAGGCAGTCTTAATCCATTGCTTGTCTTAAATGGAATCTATTAGATAAAGCACTGATACACATGAACATTTAACAAAAGTGCATAATATTACCAGAGACACGAAGGAGATTATAATGTAATAAACGTATTATGTAACAATTTCGGGATGTTAAACAAATGCAAAATGTAGCACACCCTTGGAAATAACAAATAGCCATTATTAGAAAGAGCTCCTCTGAGGATATCATGAGAACTAAGGTAGCCAGGAAGGTGAGACGCACATGCTCCCTTCACTGTGCATTTAGTAAACATTCTCCAAGGCTGACTGTCTACACTCAAGGCCAGATACCATGCCAGGAACCAGTGAATGCACAGCCACTGATGGACAAGGACTTCATAAGCTCCTAGGTCTCCTGGATATGAGACTTGCCGAAATTCCTCATTGGTCGTATTACAAAATTGAAAGGCCGAGTACCAAAAGAGGTTAAGTAAAGTGATGTGGATGTTTACAGAATAAATGAATCTCTCTCGGTCTCTATTTCTCTCTGCCTCTCTCTCCCTGTCCCTGTTCATCTTCATCTGTTTCTCTCTGTATCTCTTTCTCTTTTCTCTCTGTCTCCCTCTTTTCTCTCTCTCTCTCTCTCTCAATCTCTCTCCTTGCAGATGTCACTTACAATTTCTGGTGACACGAGTTTGTTTGTACATATGTTGGTTGTAGTGCTGGGGAGGAGAGAAAGACAAACCGTATAAAACACATAGAAATACCACGCTAAGACATTCAGGCACTAAATACATCAACATACCTTAAATTATAAATGTCTGGAAAGAGAATTCCTTCTCATAACAAAGCACCTTATCTTCAGGGTCTGGCATCTGAGTACCTTAATTCTCTCTCCCTGTGCAAACTCATAAAGAAAAGTGAGTAAAAAACTATACCACAGCTTAGTGACATAAACAAATATTTCATTATGCTCATGGACTCTGTGGGTCAGGCATCTAAGCAGAACATAGGAGCTGGATTGCCTCTGTTCCAAAATTACTGGGTTATCATCTGGAAAGACCTGTATGTTGAGATAACTTGACCTCTGGGGACTGGTATGATCTGGGCATCATCACAGTAGATGTTGGCTGTCTTCTGAAGCCTCAGCTGAGACTCTGGACTGGTGCACCTGCAGCGGCCCCTCCATGTGGCTTGGGCTTCCTCACAACGTGGTGGCTGAGTTCCAAGATGGGTCCTGTCAAGGAAACAAGAGGAAACAAGGTGGAAGTGCATGACCTTAGCCTTAAAAGCCGCAAAGTGGCTTGACCTTATGACATGTTTATGACCTTAGCCTTAAAAGCCACATAGTGTCACTGTACCCTGTTGGTTGAGACACTCACAGTGTTCTGCCTGAGCTTGGGGAAAGACAACATTGTCCTTACCACTCGGTGGCGGAGTATCAACCTGACATTGTGAGAAGAACATTTGAATGATAAATATGTGGCAGCCATTTTTGCAAGATACAGTTGGCCATATTTTGGGTCTGGCATTTTAGTCATTTAATTCATTCCTTCTGATTACAAGTCTTAAAATATATTACTTCAGAAGGTGAGAAATAAAAGCACAAAAGTCTCTGATGTCCTTTTTGTAGGAAATAAGTCCATGAAATGTGTCTGTAAACCATTCTGAACCTGGTTTATATACGCAGCTTAAGAAGTATGTCCCAAATGCTTGTTGGCCATTGGGTAAAGTCAAACACATACTTCTTTTATTTTATATACAGTCATGTTGCAAACAGAGAAGCAATCAACACCATAAATCACTCATCATTTTCTTTAACCCAGAGATGCACACTTACTTTTTCAAGTACTGCTTCACTGCTGCATCATGACAATAATGAGTTGAATGGCCCTGGTTCTCAGCACAGGTGCACTCAGCCCCTAAGGTAAGCAAGAGGCCAGGAGTGTGCATTGTGAATGGTGCTCACCATAAGGAGACCATATGAGAGAGGGGGTCGTCATGCATATGTACTGATGTGAGTCAGCTGGGCCTCTTTCACGTTCCTCCGATTTTGAGAAGAGTTGTCTCAGTGTCTTTTCAACACTTTCTCTGGTTAGAACTGATTTCAGCCCATTTGACAAAGGTAGCAATGCTTTGTGAGGATACTATGTTATAATTAAACTAATAATTATAGGTGGTGTATTTAGCTACTTGCAAATTCACATATGGCTAATATAGTTTTAAGGATCCCTGAAGAAGGTCGTATATGTGACTAAGGTCTTGCGGAAAGAGTAAAGTAGAACATTTAATTTCTGAATTAATTGCTTTATTCCTAGGAGACATTGCCCTTGATAATTTTGTGTACTCTGGAGGATTTTCCAAGTTCATGGTTGGCTCTATGGCTGTGTTTTTGGCTCTAGGACATTGTGACATTCTGTGAAATGTGTTCTAGACTGAGCTTGAATGCTTAAGTTTAGTACAAAGAATTATGCTTTTGATCTACCGCAGACACCTGGACCTAAGCTTGAAATGCAAACAATAGGTTTTCTGCAATGAATTACAAAGGCAAACAGAAGCCATCCCTATCCAGAGAATGAACTACACCTCACAGTTAAAACAGAAAACTGGGGAGGAGGTGATTTACTACGGCTACTCTTAATAGTGAAGGCAGAGTAACACTGTTTAATTTCATGATAATCCACATTGGCAATTAAGAACCATAGGGCTGGCTCCAAGAACAGTTGCAGGAAAGTCCACAGACTATCCCTGGCCCCTGTAAAGATGAGCTTAGGTGTTTGTTCTCTTTCCTAGTGTTTCATTAAACTCTGATGGACACGCATCCTTGCCCCAGAACTATTGATGGCGTATATACTGGGATAATGGGCAGAAGGGATATATACTCAGTAAGACCTCCCTTGTGGATCAAAGCTTTGTCTACATACTACTGAGCTGTTGACTTTGAGGCTTTTATTACACTTTCAGAATATGAAAATGCATTTCTGTACAATCCACGTCTGTGTGAGTTTAAAAAAATAATAAGGCTAAACTACAATTACTTTTGGCCACTGTCCTTGGGCATCTCAAGGCTATTAGATCTTTTACTGGAGAAGCAAGCTTGTTTTATCTTCATCTGAATAATCCCCAGCTGGAAGAGAGCCAAAAGACCAGATTTCAGCATTTCTACCCATTCTGTGCATCATACACCAGTAATAAAAGCCCAAGTAAACAAAGAGATGAAATAGCAATGCTATAGCAATAAAACCAATTCTATTGATTTTATTCCAGCAAATCTCATACCATACTAAATTTCTTAGAAGCATGAAAATATCTAGGCCTTTATTGCTCAATTTAACTAGGCTGTTTGCATGCTCTTATTTTGTTTTAATAAATTATCTGAAAGGATTAAAATTAAAACATGATTCTTTTCCTAATGCTAAAAGCCTTTCGGTGACACAATATGTTTAACACTGAAGAAACTCAATAAAACAAAATTATATCCCAGGGTAGAAAGATTTAGAACATTAGCAAACTTCTTCATTTAGATGGCTAATATGTTTTTCTCAATGGGATTTTGAGCATGCTTGTATCAGCACAGCCCAAATCTGAAAACTCTTCCTATTTCTATTGGAAAAAAAAAAAATGTTGACAAGGAATATACTCTCTAAGTGTGGGCTCATACCCAGTTGTACTTTTAAACACAGGCAGTTTGTGCTGGCAGCAGGATTTAATTGACTGAGTCGTGGTGTTGGCTCCACTTGTCATCTCTGCTCACTATGCTCTGTTTTTAAGGATTCATTGACTTCACACACTCTGCACGATGGCTGATCAGAGACCTCAGCCTTGACTGAAGAAGCCACTGCAGGATGAGCAGGGGCAGAGACCCACGCCTGTCAATGAGATGCTATTAACCAGTTTTTACTCTGCCCTTGTGGTCATGCCCTATCAGACCCTCTCTTATTTTGTATGTTCTGCATACTGTTTAGAAGATAACAGTTGGAAAAAATATTTAAAAAGGCTCTGAATGGAAATCCTTGTAGGTAAGGATGTACGTCTCATGGGAGGGTTAGGTGAATCCCTCTGGGTTACACAGCTGGTTGGGGATAGGTCCAGGATGGCTTCCACAACTAGACTGTACTATTAGTACAATTTCCCCTGCACCATATTACATTATGAGCACAATTTCCTTCAGAGAGAAAAATACCAACATTCAATGTCTCATATTTCCACTTGATTGCCACTGATCTTATTGTAGTTCACAGCCAATAGGAAATTATGTATTTTATCAAAAATAAATTTGAAACAGATAAATGTACTTTCTTTCCTACAGGGGCCAAACAAATTTAGTATGAATTTTATTTTATAAAAGTGACCAGGATTCTAGAACAGCAATGGAACCATCAGTATAAATTGTAGGGGACCAGAACTAAAAGAGTCTGAAGATTCTAAACTCAAGATCCCAATCCTGTTTGAGGTTGTTGCATTCAACTCCCAGGGTCCAACTGTGGTTAACCAACAGGGGCTATTTGTAAACGCATCCGTGGCTTAGGAGGCTGCATAAAACACCACCCATCCATACAATGAGCCCTGTCACTGACGCTTCACCTCCTCTGCCACTCATGCACACATAGCGACCACTGTCACTGATACTTCACCTCCCCCACCACCCATGCACACAGGGCAACCACTGTCACTGATACTCCACCTCCTCCACCAGCCATGCACACGAGGTGACCCCTGTCACTGATACTCCACCTCCTCCGCCACCCATGCACTGCGCGGCGACCCCTGTCACTGATACTCCACCTCCTCCAGCCACCCATGCACTCTGGCGACCACTGTCACTGATACTCCACCTCCTCCGCCACCCATTGCACTCACGGTGACCTGTCACTGATACTCTCCGCCACCCATGCACACACGTGACCCCTGTCACTGATACTCCTCCTCCGCCACCATGCACTGCCAGCGACCGCTGTCACTGACCTCCACCTCCCTCCAAACCACCCCACACCACCACGGCGACCCTGTCCCTGATACTCCACCTCCTCCGCCACCCAGCCTCCACAGCGACCACTGTCACTGATGCACTCCACCTCCCTCCGCCACACCCATGCACTCACGGTGACCCTGTCACCTGATACTCCACCTCCCACCTCCGCCACCCATGCACACACGGCGGCCTGTCACCTGATACTCCACCTCCTCCGCCACCCATGCCTCCCAGCGACCACTGTCACTGATGCTCACCTCCTCCGCCACCCATGCACTCCACGGTGACCCCTGTCACTGATACTCCACCTCCTCATACCACCCATACACACGCGGCCCCATCACTGATACTCCACCTCCTCCGCCACCCATGCACTCACGGTGACCCCTGTCACTGATACTCCCACCTCCTCCGCCACCCATGCACTCGCAACGACCACCATCACACTGATACTCCACCTCCTCCGCCCATGCCTGGGCGGCCCTCTCCCCACTGATACTCCACCTCCTCCGCCACCCATGCACACGCGGCGACCCTGTCACCTGATACTCCACCTCCTCCAACACCCATGCCTCACAGTGACCACTGTCACTGATACTCCACCTCCTCCGCCACCACGCACCACGGCGGCCTGTCACTGATACTCCACCTCCTCATACATGCACTCACAGCGACCCCTGTCCTTTGATACTCCACCTCCTCCGCCACCCATGCACTCACAGCGACCCCTGTCACTGATACTCCACCTCCTCCGCCACCCACCCACTTTTAGAAGCCCTGTCACTGATACTCCACCCGGCGACCCCTGTCACTGATACTCCACCTCCTCCGCCACCCATGCACTCACAGCGACCACTGTCACTGATACTCCACCTCCTCCACCACCTGCACTGGCATGGCTGAGACAGCGCCCTTTTCTAACTTATTTCCCTTTTCAAGACTGTTCCTACTGGACATGTTGGCATGATTTCTTCTGTATAATGACTTTGAAAAGGGCACAGTGCCATTCGTCTGCCCTTAAACCTCATGTCCATGCAATACAAAGTGATGGACACTTTACTGTGATTTCATTGATGAATTAAGGGAAGTTTTAATTAGGCAACATTGCCAAATGCACATATAAATAGGACATTAACATCTGTCCAATGTAATATAAATTGAATGAAACTACAAAATAGTTGAATGGGAATAAAACCAAATCAGTCAAACTGCTTTATAGGAGTATGCTCTATAAAAATTTTTAATAAGAATTTTCATTTTATAAA